CCATGTAATGAGTGCCGTCGCATTATTTCAGAGTAACTACAGCCGCGCATGCGCTTCAGTGCATTTCTAAAGAAACACGACACCACGAAGAGCCAGAGAGGATCCGAGACTGAGCTTCTGAGAAAACCCCATCAGAGTGCTTTTACCAGAGCATTAAACACGCTCGTTATTATTGGAAACAGCAGACCAAACTACATTTCCCATCATCCTCTCTCACGCTTTGCATTCAGACGGAGTAATCGCATTCAATATTAACCCGGATGTTCATTCAGAGCACATTTCCCTCCATTAATAATGCATATGCTTGGAATTGCATCTGCGCTTATTATGATTCTTTGTTTATAATGTCTCTCCACAGGTATGAGGATAGTGTCCATCAGGCTGTCCTCGTCGCAGCGGCTTAATTAGCTCATGAATAAATCAGCAGGACGGAGTATAATGAACGACTGCTTCGTTATTCTTTCTCTCGCTCTTTTTATAGAAGATAATAGAAATTACTCGGAGTCTCCGTAGACTCAAATGCACTTTTTTTTTTATCATGCTCACCTCTTGCCCAAACCGGTTCTCGGCCATGAACAGTTAGAAGCTCTTTAATAACATAATCACACACATATGATGTTATGTGATTTATGTAGTTCTAACAATGTAACCGTGTCTTCGTCACATGATATAACTGAAGCTCTCAGAACGTTCTGGCAAGGTTCTCCGTAAGTTATGAACACAAACGTTCTTGTAGTAACGTTAATGTGTTAATCTGCTCTTTAATAATGTTCTCAAAACATTAGCACAAAAACCTTATTTGTACATCTTACATGGATCGGTTTTTATGAAATGTGACCCTGGAGCACAAAACCAGTCATAAAGGTCAATTTTGTGAAATTGAGATCTATGCATCATGAAACACAAACCTGCCGAAAATCTCATGCGCATCTTTTATTAATGTGAGTCTTCAGGACACACACCGAGAAACGTCGTAGCATTTTAATATCGATAACGAGCGAGAGAAACCCTCGCAATGCATTCATAATCTGTAGACCGTTTTCACATTCCTGGACCCAAAGCATTGTTATATAAAACAGTCGTAACTTAATATTTTTCAACTAAAACAATATTGTATCTGATCAGCAACTTCTCATTAATGAGTTTTCAATGTTACCACGCTTTTACTGCATTTATCCCTTTTTTTAAATTAATTTATGAGAAATTCTATTTGAATATTTCATTGTGTGAATTTTATAAGAACATAAAATCTGAGAATTATCAGTATTATCCCCATTGAAATTAATGGATTAATTAAATTCCTTTGAATTTATAACTCATGATTGCGCAATCCAAATTTATGAAACCTATATATATCCATTTCTAACAAAACATCAAAACAACATAAATAGTTTTCAAATAAAATAAATTAGTTTCGCTTGCATAAACGTTCCATTTCTGATAATAAAAAAGTGATACATTTTTCAAGCTGCAATAGTTTATCAATAGTCGTACATATTCATGTTCATCAAATGCAGTCCCAAAAGTGTGTGAGAGATGGGGAAAGGCTAAATATATTTTACAAAGGTTTTTTACACTAATATAACTCCATAGTTAATTTTACAAAAAAATATTTTTGACACTAATGGTGCTCCATACACACCCGGGTCAACACAAAACCTGTTACATCTCTTAAAAAAAATAACTGTAAAAAAAATCTGATAAATAAATGTTGTGTATTTTGAGTGTCTTAAAGCATTTGCAACGTTTCGCTCCCTTACTAAAAACTATGCATTTGTTAGACATTTTTAACATATCTCTTCTGCGTTCTGAGGGTTTAGAACTGCTCTTCTTTCATCACCTTCATGCCGTTGCTTTGAACACGAGGATTAACACTTCTAAAAATAATTTTGACTTCGAGACCTTCTGCTTCATCAAACACATCATCTTCAGCCAGTCAGCTCCATCATCATCCAGCTGCTGCTTTCAGATTCGTTCGTGTTTCCTTTTAAATACCCGAAGGAAAAGCTGCGCAGCTACATCTGAGATTCCTCAACACCATCAGCGCTGATTTACCTATTAAACCGTTTTAGCAGAAGATTAAACCCTCGTTAGAAAGTACATTTATGTCTAATGAACAAGTCCAACACGAGGCGATGTGATTAGAAAACATTTGTCTTTGCACTGAGTGCAGTGCACTTTCTGGCCTCTGAATAAAAGCACTTTCTAAGAAATGTCAAAGATTTTTCCTCTTGTTGGACTCGCTCTTCCACAAATTAAGGCCTAAAAAGATCTTAAATCAGAGCAGAAAGTCTTACATTCATGAAGTCGTGGCATTAAATTAATTTCCTTCCTTACTTGGTTGTAAAAAGGTTTTAAAGTCTTAAATCTACCTTCATAAAACCTATAAATTTTTTGAAGCTCATGCACCAAAGTATATTCCAATTGCAAAATTCTTACATTTTTGCCGCCGACGTTTCGACTGCATTTTCTGTCCTTTATTCACAAATGCACAATGCACCGCGAGTCATAATTAACACGTGCACGCGTATCATTTTCACATTTTATTTTACACAACGTAACATGTTTGTAACTATGCAGTGTATTATTCCATAAAACAAAGAAATATACAAGTCGTAGTATTGTTTTACTATATGCAGGAAACCGTATTTAATTTGTGCTTAAAAAAACATCGTCCTCTTGACAGTCCGAGATTATAACACACGTACGGTGGCCTGAAACTATTAAAAACCACTGAATTCACGTGAAGTGCAAAGTCCTCCGTTATAATGTGCTTTCCAGAACCCACTCGGACTGGGACAGCGAGGATCTCCCGCTGCGCCTCTCGCCCGAGTCCATCTGGGGAATATCGCCGCCGCTCATGGATAAGCTGCGTTTGGAACGCAGCGGCTGCGGGTAGCTCATGTACGCCGGATGTTTGCACGAGTCTACGTTCAGCGAGTGACGGCGGCTCACACGCACGCAGCCCACCGGGAACGTTAATGTGTTAATCTGCTCTTTAATAATGTTCTCAAAACATTAGCACAAAAACCTTATTTGTACATCTTACATGGATCGGTTTTTATGAAATGTGACCCTGGAGCACAAAACCAGTCATAAAGGTCAATTTTGTGAAATTGAGATCTATGCATCATGAAACACAAACCTGCCGAAAATCTCATGCGCATCTTTTATTAATGTGAGTCTTCAGGACACACACCGAGAAACGTCGTAGCATTTTAATATCGATAACGAGCGAGAGAAACCCTCGCAATGCATTCATAATCTGTAGACCGTTTTCACATTCCTGGACCCAAAGCATTGTTATATAAAACAGTCGTAACTTCATATTTTTCAACTAAAACAATATTGTATCTGATCAGCAACTTCTCATTAATGAGTTTTCAATGTTACCACGCTTTTACTGCATTTATCCCTTTTTTAAAATTAATTTATGAGAAATTCTATTTGAATATTTCATTGTGTGAATTTTATAAGAACATAAAATCTGAGAATTATCAGTATTATCCCCATTGAAATTAATGGATTAATTAAATTCCTTTGAATTTATAACTCATGATTGCGCAATCCAAATTTATGAAACCTATATATATCCATTTCTAACAAAACATCAAAACAACATAAATAGTTTTCAAATAAAATAAATTAGTTTCGCTTGCATAAACGTTCCATTTCTGATAATAAAAAAGTGATACATTTTTCAAGCTGCAATAGTTTATCAATAGTCGTACATATTCATGTTCATCAAATGCAGTCCCAAAAGTGTGTGAGAGATGGGGAAAGGCTAAATATATTTTACAAAGGTTTTTTACACTAATATAACTCCATAGTTAATTTTACAAAAAAATATTTTTGACACTAATGGTGCTCCATACACACCCGGGTCAACACAAAACCTGTTACATCTCTTAAAAAAAATAACTGTAAAAAAAATCTGATAAATAAATGTTGTGTATTTTGAGTGTCTTAAAGCATTTGCAACGTTTCGCTCCCTTACTAAAAACTATGCATTTGTTAGACATTTTTAACATATCTCTTCTGCGTTCTGAGGGTTTAGAACTGCTCTTCTTTCATCACCTTCATGCCGTTGCTTTGAACACGAGGATTAACACTTCTAAAAATAATTTTGACTTCGAGACCTTCTGCTTCATCAAACACATCATCTTCAGCCAGTCAGCTCCATCATCATCCAGCTGCTGCTTTCAGATTCGTTCGTGTTTCCTTTTAAATACCCGAAGGAAAAGCTGCGCAGCTACATCTGAGATTCCTCAACACCATCAGCGCTGATTTACCTATTAAACCGTTTTAGCAGAAGATTAAACCCTCGTTAGAAAGTACATTTATGTCTAATGAACAAGTCCAACACGAGGCGATGTGATTAGAAAACATTTGTCTTTGCACTGAGTGCAGTGCACTTTCTGGCCTCTGAATAAAAGCACTTTCTAAGAAATGTCAAAGATTTTTCCTCTTGTTGGACTCGCTCTTCCACAAATTAAGGCCTAAAAAGATCTTAAATCAGAGCAGAAAGTCTTACATTCATGAAGTCGTGGCATTAAATTAATTTCCTTCCTTACTTGGTTGTAAAAAGGTTTTAAAGTCTTAAATCTACCTTCATAAAACCTATAAATTTTTTGAAGCTCATGCACCAAAGTATATTCCAATTGCAAAATTCTTACATTTTTGCCGCCGACGTTTCGACTGCATTTTCTGTCCTTTATTCACAAATGCACAATGCACCGCGAGTCATAATTAACACGTGCACGCGTATCATTTTCACATTTTATTTTACACAACGTAACATGTTTGTAACTATGCAGTGTATTATTCCATAAAACAAAGAAATATACAAGTCGTAGTATTGTTTTACTATATGCAGGAAACCGTATTTAATTTGTGCTTAAAAAAACATCGTCCTCTTGACAGTCCGAGATTATAACACACGTACGGTGGCCTGAAACTATTAAAAACCACTGAGTTCACGTGAAGTGCAAAGTCCTCCGTTATAATGTGCTTTCCAGAACCCACTCGGACTGGGACAGCGAGGATCTCCCGCTGCGCCTCTCGCCCGAGTCCATCTGGGGAATATCGCCGCCGCTCATGGATAAGCTGCGTTTGGAACGCAGCGGCTGCGGGTAGCTCATGTACGCCGGATGTTTGCACGAGTCTACGTTCAGCGAGTGACGGCGGCTCACACGCACGCAGCCCACCGGGACCGTCTGGTAGTTGTGGAGGTTCGACGCCGGCGTCACCATGGTGGAGTAGGCGCGCACGGTTGGACGCAGCTTGGCCGAGTTGTTCTTGTTGGTGTTGTCTGGCTCTACGTTGACTTGCGTGTCCGTGCGTGCCGGACGAACCGGACTGGGGGATGCGGGATGCCAGCTGTGACTGGCGGCGGATGTGGTGACGGTGCAGTCCGGAAGAGCCGGCTTGGACTGTCGGGATGGCATGGATTCGCTCTGCGGCGATACCTTCCGACACGCGTCTGGACCCAGAACCTGCTTGGACATGGACTTGATGATGCCACACACCTGATGCTCGGACTGAGAGTGCATGTCGCCCAGCTCCACGCCTTTATCCGCGCCCTCCTGCTGGCACAGCCGGTAGCGCACAATGAGGAAGATGATGAAGGCCAGGACGGACGCCACGATCATGCCGCCGATGATGACCACGATGGTGCCGCCGAGGAACTGTGACTGCATGAAGTGGCAGCGCATATACTGCGGCTCGGTGGCGAAGTGAACGCAGCCCACCACGCGTGTGGCCGTCAGCGCGGTCATGGCGTCGTCGTAAATGGCCAGAACGCACAGGTCGTACGTAGTTCCTGCTGCCAGGTTGTTGACCGTGATGCTTTTACTGGTCGGAGGAATCATTCTGCAAGAAACATGCAGTCAGAAACACTGCTAGAACCAATCAACGTGCATCATTCAGAACATAATCAATGAGCTGTTATTCATCATTTGATCCCATTAGGGATGCATTGTTATAGGAAGGAACTTCCTTTAGTACTTTTGAGGACGAGAAAGTGTAAGAAATGCACAAATGTTGAGAAATCGAACATCGTTGTGGGAACATTGTTTTGAAATGTTCCTAAAATGTTGCAAAGTGTCCAGTTTTCTTGTGATTCTAACGTTATTTAAATGTTACCAAAAAGTTTCTCACAACATTCTACTAACTATACTGTTTCCAAAAATGTGTTTGAACGTTTGTTTTTAGTAGTCTAAAAACATTAAAATGTCCAGTTTTCTTGTCATGACTATAATGTAATTTCTCACATCGTTCTACTAAATATAATATTATTTGAAAGTTCTTTAATAATATTGGAAGAACGTTAAAATGTCCAGTTTCTTGTCGTGATTATAACGTTATTTTAAGGTTATGAAAACACTTCTTAGAAGTTCATCAAGGACAATCATAACGATGTTTTGAAGAATGTTGATCTCAGAACATTTTCTCTCGATGTTATGAGAATGTATACCAAATATTAATAAAGTTCCATAAACATTACTTTAGGCCTAACATTTATATAACTTTTAAAAGAACGTTAGTGAAAGTTGTGAGAACGTTCCCTGTTAGCCGGGATCTTAAAAAATCGAAACATTCTTAAATGAAGATATATTTACTCGAGGAAGTCTTGTTTTCTGAGAAATTTGCCAAAATGAACAAACCTGTCATTGACTTCAGAAAAAAAATCTTCTACTTTTCTCTTTGAAGGGAAGATAAACTAATCAAAACTGATGAATTTATTTGTGTCCACTTCCATTTATTCCTTACATTTTTCTTTTCATGCTATTATGAATAACCAATCAGTAACTAAGTCTCACAGGATAACACTGTTGTTTTATTCACCAAAAATAACTGGTTCATAAGAGTCATTAATTCGGGAATCAGACTGCACTGGTTGCTCTGTACGGTTTTGATTCACTAAAAAGAACCGGCTCATAAGACTCATTCAATACTGCAATTACGCGCCACTGTAAAGTAAATTTAGAAACATAATTTTAGTACAGTTTTCTGTTCACATAGACAGAAAAATGCATGTGCAAGGAACATTAACGGAACCAAACTTTATTTATTTAAAAATAATTCCCAACCCTACTCATCAATCTGACTGCACTGACACTATTAGATGAGAATAGATCCTGAACCCAGCTAACAAAAATATGTTGATGTTCCCATAAAGTAAAAAAAAATGTTCTGAATGTTCTTTGAACCCCCAAAAGAGAACGTTCCATTGTATCATTTTGCAAACATTATGTGAACGTTACTTTGGAATGTTCTGAAACAAGTTGTAACATTTATAAAAACGTTAGACGAACGTCCAACTAAAACGTCTCAGGAAAAAACATTCCATGTATGAATAATGTTGTTGTGCTAACGTTTTGAGAACATAATTAATTACTGGAAGAATGTTTGTTCATAACTTTGAGAGAACCTTGCCAAAAGTTATAAAAATGTTATTTCTGAAGGTTCTCTGAACGCTCAAAATGTCCAGTGAGATGCTTTTTTCTTGGTTATATGAATGTTAAGGGAACATTCCGTTGTATCATTTTGTTACTTTTGAATGTTCTCTGAAAGTTCTGAAACAAGTAGCAACATTTAAAATATGTTAGACGAACATCCAACTAAACCGTTTCAGGAAAAGCATTCCATGAACGACACATTAACGTTTTTGTGCTAACATTTTGAAAACATTAAAGACCAGATAACTTTGACCAAATGTTCCATTAATGTTAAGTTCTCCGAACATTCCCTGTTAACTGAACTGAGCTGAACAACGACTCTGTCGTTGTCTTTAAATATTTTAAAAATATCTTAATCTGTGTTTCGAAGATGAACGAAGGTCTTACAGGTTTGAAACGACATGAGGGTGAGTAATTAATGACAGAATTTTCATTTTTGGGTGAACTATCCCTATCCCAGCTGTGCACTGCTCTCTGAAATCATTTAATATTGTAAGGTGTTTAAAACCAAAACAGGCTCACCTGTACACTAATGAGTCATCGTAAGTGCCGTTGTATTGGACCTGGAACATCCGAATCCCTGGGATATTCCTCTGAAAGTTGAACTTCACCAGAGCCGTGGCTGCGGTGATCTCCGAGATCAGGACCCTCTTCTCCTGTCCACCCTTGTTGCCCATCGAGGAGCCTCCGTCTCCGCTTGTCTTGGCAGAAGTGGCGATGTCAGACGACCCCGGGTCCGGCTCTTGGACCATACTGGTGTCGTTGGTGAAATGTGGAAGTTTAGTGATGAGCAGATCCACTGTCTGCTGCGCCTCTCCAGATGGGTTAGACGCGACACAAGTGAAAGTCCCAGAGTCCTTGACCGTGCTGATTAGGATGTCCAGTGTCCCGTCCGAGTGGAGGACGGTGCGACTGGAGTTGAATACCAGCTTCCCGTCCGGAGCGATCCAATGCATGACGGGATATGGGTCGCCGCGGGCTTTGCAGCGCAAGGAAACCTGCTGGCCTTCGAGAGCACGAGTCTCTTGCGAGTGTCTAGTGATGAGCGGCGGCTCGCACAGGAACTCCTCCTCGGATACGGTCCAGAAATAGCGTCCGGCGAGATGCTGTGGAGCCGCGCAGGTCTCCAGATCATCCTCGCGCCGCAGCCGTCGAAGCCACAGCAACTCGCAGTTACAATGCAGCGGGTTTCCTCCGAAACTTAACGCGAACGACGACGGACCCAAAACGCCAGACGTGGCTAAAACTCCAGCGCGCTGGAAGACCGGATCGGGCGGAAGCTTGTGGAGCTTATTGGACGTTACATCCAGACGCTTGAGAAACAAGTAGCAACATTTAAAATATGTTAGACGAACATCCAACTAAACCGTTTCAGGAAAAGCATTCCATGAACGACACATTAACGTTTTTGTGCTAACATTTTGAAAACATTAAAGACCAGATAACTTTGACCAAATGTTCCATTAATGTTAAGTTCTCCGAACATTCCCTGTTAACTGAACTGAGCTGAACAACGACTCTGTCGTCTTCTTTAAAGCCCGTTCACACCAAGAACGATAACTATAAAGATAACGATAAAGATATAGTTCTAAAAATCGTTCTCAATATTAAAGAACAGCAGCGTCCACACCACAGCTATAACGATAAAGGCACAGAGAAACGATATCGTTGGAATCACTTTCAGAATGATTTTTTCCCATCTGTTGAATGATAAAACGCTGACGGCCAATCAGAATCCGTCCTGCCGTAACGAGCTGGAGAATTTAAAGCAGCAGACGAGCGTGCGCTTGGAATAAACAGAAGATATCGTCTGTTGTGTGGACGCTAATATAGTTATCTTTAAAGTTATCGTTCTTGTGTGAACGGTCCAGTAGAGCTGCTTCACAGCTGAAAGTTTCTTCATAATTGATCAATTTTACAACATTAATACTGTTTTCTGTTTATTAATGTGAAGCTGTAAATGAGACTTTTTATTTAAAGGGATAGTTCACCCAAAAATACAAATTCTGTCATTAATTACTCACCCTCATGTTGTTTCAAACCCGTAAGACAAATTCTTTGTAACACAAATTAAGATATTTTCAATGGAATCTGAGAGCTCTCTGACCCTGCATAGACAGCAACGCAACTGAAATGTTCGGCTGCTTCACGCCGGATCGGTTTCGCACGTTGTTTGCACTTTGATTTGAATGAAAACAACATATCCGCGTGACGCAGCTGGCACAGAACAGCATGCGCTGTTTACGTCCAGCTGTTATTCTCCAAAATGGCACCAGGGTGATGCGGAGGAGACTAATTGTTGAATAAAGTCGTTTTCTTTTTTCTTTTGCGCACAAAGTATTCTCGTAGCTTCGTATAATTGCGGTTGAACCACTGATGTCACATGGATTATTTTACAGATCTCCTTGCTACGTTTCTGGACTTGGGAACATTTCAGTTGTGTTGCTGTCTATGCAGGGTCAGACAGCTCTGATTCCATCGAAAATATCTTAATCTGTGTTTCGAAGATGAACGAAGGTCTTACGGGTTTGAAACGACATGAGGGTGAGTAATTAATGACAGAATTTTCATTTTTGGGTGAACTATCCCTATCCCAGCTGTGCACTGCTCTCTGAAATCATTTAATATTGTAAGGTGTTTAAAACCAAAACAGGCTCACCTGTACACTAATGAGTCATCGTAAGTGCCGTTGTATTGGACCTGGAACATCCGAATCCCTGGGATATTCCTCTGAAAGTTGAACTTCACCAGAGCCGTGGCTGCGGTGATCTCCGAGATCAGGACCCTCTTCTCCTGTCCACCCTTGTTGCCCATCGAGGAGCCTCCGTCTCCGCTTGTCTTGGCAGAAGTGGCGATGTCAGACGACCCCGGGTCCGGCTCTTGGACCATACTGGTGTCGTTGGTGAAATGTGGAAGTTTAGTGATGAGCAGATCCACTGTCTGCTGCGCCTCTCCAGATGGGTTAGACGCGACACAAGTGAAAGTCCCAGAGTCCTTGACCGTGCTGATTAGGATGTCCAGTGTCCCGTCCGAGTGGAGGACGGTGCGACTGGAGTTGAATACCAGCTTCCCGTCCGGAGCGATCCAATGCATGACGGGATATGGGTCGCCGCGGGCTTTGCAGCGCAAGGAAACCTGCTGGCCTTCGAGAGCACGAGTCTCTTGCGAGTGTCTAGTGATGAGCGGCGGCTCGCACAGGAACTCCTCCTCGGATACGGTCCAGAAATAGCGTCCGGCGAGATGCTGTGGAGCCGCGCAGGTCTCCAGATCATCCTCGCGCCGCAGCCGTCGAAGCCACAGCAACTCGCAGTTACAATGCAGCGGGTTTCCTCCGAAACTTAACGCGAACGACGACGGACCCAAAACGCCAGACGTGGCTAAAACTCCAGCGCGCTGGAAGACCGGATCGGGCGGAAGCTTGTGGAGCTTATTGGACGTTACATCCAGACGCTTGAGCTTCTGAAGCCCGGAGAAGGTCCCTTCGGGAATGTAGTTGATCATGTTGTGGTCCAGGTTTAAGGTGTGTAGGTTGCTCATGAGCTGGATGGCGATCCACGGCACGCTCTCCAGGTTGTTGTAGGATAAATCCAGCTCTTCCAGCGCGAGAAGGTCGTTGAACGCTCCTATGTGGATGTGCGTGAGCTGGTTGTTGTTGAGAATGAGATGGTGCAGCTTGGACATGCCGCTAAACGTATCGTTCGTTATGTGGGTCAAGCGGTTGCTGTCCAGATGAAGGGCGCGGAGGTTCTCCAAATCGTTGAAAGCGTGAGGCGTGACCGATCCTATCGTGTTCCTAGAGAGCGTCAGGTCCACCAGTTTGGTCATGTTGGCGAAATCCTTCTGCTTGATGCCCGTGATGAAGTTGTCCCCCAGTCGGAGCTCGACGGTGCGTCTGTCGATGTTTGGAGGGACAAACAGCAGCCCCTTTTTATCACACAAGGTGGCCAGATTGGGGGACAAAACCTGGCAAATGCAGCGCTTGGGACATACTTGGATCTTCTGGGCCTTTAACGCCAATACAACAACCATCAAATAAACCAGTAGCGTCTCCATCTGGGTTCTGGGTATTGGTTAAGCAACCTGTGAAGCAAGCAAACAGAGACGATTCTCATTATCAGTGGCAGATCAAGAGCAGTGAATGTGACAGGCTGAAAGAAATGAATACTTTTATTCAGTAAGGACACATTAAATTGATCAAATATTTTGCAACATTATAAATGTCGCTTTTGATCAATGAACACTGTTCTTTTGAGCTTTCTATATTATTCTATTCACAGTTTCCACTACATTGATAATAATCAGAAATGTTTCTTATGCAGAAAAATCTGCATATTTGAATGATTTCTGACACTGATCAAAACTGAATTTTCAGCATCATTACTCCAGTCTTCAATTACATTTGACAATAGATTCACACAGAAACCAGCTGTTTTAAATTGTAAAAATATTTCATAATTTTTACTGTGTTTTTGATCAAATAAATGCAGCCCTGGTGAGCAGAAGAGACTTGGCAGTGTACAAGCTCTGACAAAACAGATGAGTGGTTGATATTGCCTAAATAAATGCTAGACGCTTTAATGTTTAGGAGCACAACAGATGACGTCAGGACACACCGCCTAAAAGCTACAAAACCCCAATTTAGGTTTTCTGTTGTACAAACAAACAAGTCACCACGTGCAAATGAAATGTTGTGAAACATCACGTCTGAGGGAATCTGACAGCTCCAGAAGCTTTCTGGGGACATGTCTTAAAGCTCCGGCTCCACTGCACGCTGTTTTTGATAAGATAATGTTGATCCTTTCATCTGTGTGTTTGGCGAGATGAAAGACTCCTCTGACCGTCCAGATACTCATCAGAATTAGTCTGATGTCTCCAAAGACCGAGCAGAGACACAGATGCCACACCAGGAGAGACACTCGGCTCTGCTCGTGTTACTTTGTGCGGGATGAGAAACGTATTCTCTGAATGACTCTGAAGTCCTTGACGAGATATAAAATTTCATACCAGCTACGGTTTTCATTAGAATGGCTCTTTGCAAAGATGTTTAATTATGTGTGCGTTTACAGAGGAATCAGAGCGTTGTCTCTTGGTTTCTGCTGCTCTGCTTTACAGGGTTGTTCCTAACATGCACTAAAATCTCAGCAGATCAGTTCTTGTGACTTCTGTCATTTGTAACCTTGGAAATGCACATCTCTTCTGAATGCGTTTTGAAGATGAGACGATGTCAAGCGCTGTCAGGGGTGATGAGCCTTTCAAAGCAGTGCGCTGAGAATGCGTGCGATAATAACCTGCCGTGCATCAGGCCTGTGATCATGAGAGAGTCGGCATCATTAGACTGTCATGCAGACAATAGAGGAGCCGGCTGGAGAGAAACCTCGTGTAGAAACAGGCAATAAAACTGAAGGATGAAGGTGACACCTGACATCTGACTGTATGGAAGAGCAATGAAAACGGAGCGTGCTAACCTATAAAATGCATGAAATAAACAACAGGAACACGCATGCCAATTCATCTTTGTCACATATAAAGGCCACAGCTTTAAATAATGACATGCTGCCACTGAGTGAGCAAACGCACTGATAGTGTTTGCAAAAATAACAGCCACCGCTAACGTGCTAAGCGTTTCGCTAATATTCTCATTCAGTTATAAAAACGCTATTTCTGAAGGGTTTTTAAATGTTTTAGAAAAGGGTTTTTCTTTTTGGTTATGCAAATGTTTGGGGAACGTTGCATTGTATCATTTCACAAACATTATGGGAATGTTACTTTTGAATGTTTTCTGAACGTTCTGAAACAAGTAGCAACATTTAAAAAACAAGTATCATTTAAAAAACGTTATTATTTGATTTAACCTTTGTTTAACCAGGCAAGTCATTAAGAACAAGTTATTTTCAATAACAGCCTTATATATTCTAAGAACGTGTTTCATTAAGTTACAAAAACGTGATTTCTGAATGTCCAATTTTTTGTATGTTTTATAAAGTTTTTTTCTGGGTTATACAAAGATTAAGGCAACAAGCAAACATTATAGAAATGTTACTTTTCAATGTTCTCTGAACATTCTGAAACGAGTAGAAGAAAAATGTCCAACTAACATGTTTCAGGAACAAAATCTTCTATGAATGATGTATAAATTATGTTTTTGTGCTAATGATTTGCGAACATTATTTACGTGCAGATAACTTTGAACGAACATACCATTAACATTGCAAGACTGGATACATTTGAAGGAACGTTCCATTAACCATACTGCAACCTTGCCAGAACGTTCCGAGAACAATCACTGTTAGCGGAGTCTAAATAATGCATTGAATGCATTCATATAATCATAACGCACTAAAGCTCACGGGTCAAGGACAAATGACCCGTTTTGGTGGTGTTTAATTGAACACTCTCTGCATATCAAATGACCTTCCCATCAGCCTCTTTATTGAGTCTGTGCCGCTGGTGTTGTTTGCCAACCAGCTGGCTGCATTAGTTGGCAAAGCGTGTGTATTTTGAGCGGGCCGCGCCGCAGTCGCTACTTCCCCTCTGAAACACCGCTGTGAATGTGCTATTGGATGCTCAGTGCGAGCCATTTATTTATTTTTATTTTACATCCCATTTCCCCAGCCAACACTCACTGAAGCACAAATGAAGCAGCATGACGGCTCTCCCGTGACTCGCTGTGTTCAGAAGCGTGTGTGTTGGAGAAGGACAGCGTGTGAAAGAGAGCAGCGTTTGGGTTTGTCTTCACACATCCTCAGCTGCTCGGCCGAACTAATGACGCCAGCAGGACTCGAAACCGCTGCTTTTCAACCAAACAAACACTCAGTGCACTCATACTGCCATTTCTCTGCGCATTTCTGATTGGATGTACGCAACTTCCCTGCTGACAAAAAATGTTCTAAAAACATTCCCCTGAAGTTATGAGAATGTTTCTTCTGAATGTTCTCTGAACGTTAAAAATGTCCAGTTTTTTTAAATGGTCCAGAAACGGGGTTTTTTTATGTGAATGTCAGGAGAACGTTCCATTGTATCATTTCGCAAACATTATGGGAATGTTACTTTTGAATGATTTCTGAACGTTCTGAAACAAGTAGCATTTTAAAACGTTAGATGAACATCCGACTAAAATCTTTCAGAAATAAAACATTCTATGTATGATGTATCAATAACGTTTTTGTGCTCTCATTTTTGAGAACATTATTAAAGACCAAATGTGACCCTGGACCACAAAAGGTCGCCGTGATTTTGCCGAGTAAGACATGTTCGTGGATCAACAATACAGACTTAACCCAATCCCCACCCCTAACCTAACCTTACTCATAATTTATTCCTGAAATCAGAGGGAAATGACAGCTGATTAACAAGAGTGTGGAAGCACCTGATCCTGAAACTGACATTTCCTGAAAAGTTAGAATGATTTTCAAGGATGTTGATCCAGGAGCATGTTGTACTTGGTGACTTTCACTAACATTTTTTAAATGTTAGGACAAAACACTCAAAATTCTCCTAATTTTCTTATGATGTTGTTTGTACATGATGAACGTTCCAAGAAAGTTTTTTTGTAACCTTTAAATAATGTTCTGATCATGAACGTTTTAGAATATTAAAAATAATAATTCAAATACATATTTTGGGTTAAACATAATGTACAACGTTGCAAGAAACATTTTAAAAACAAAATTCCCACAACGTTTTATAACCTAATTTTGTTATCTGTGAGTCTTCCTCTCCACTGCAGCTCTGACGTCTCGTTCAGATTCATAAACGCAGGTTTGAAATCAGCGAGCGGACCGAGGGCTTGATTCATGCCTCCGACAGTCTGAGTGTGACTTCATCACCTCGTGTGTGTGTGATCTGTGAGATCAGATCTTCCACAGCAGCGGCACAGATGTGCGGTTATCAGACTATAGCAGATGTTTTCTGCAGTTCCTCACCGTGAACATTTTCAGAAAGACAGTAAGTGTCTTTCTCTCATTCTCTTATTTCTTTGCATTGGCTGCCAGTATCCCGTCTGGACTGATAGATAGACATAAATTATTTAGAGAGCGACCCACACACACTCACTCACTCACTCACTCACTCACTCACTCACTCACTCACTCACTCACTCACTCACTCACTCACTCACTCACTCACTCACTCACTCACTCACTCACTCACTCACTCACTCACTCACTCACTCACTCACTCACTCACTCACTCACTCACTCACTCACTCACTCACTCACTCACTCACTCACTCACTCACTCACACACACACACACACTCTCACACACACACACACACACACACACACTCTCTCTCTCTCACACACACATGCCACACAGATATTGACTTTGGGAATGTGTTTTTGAGTGAATATTCAACAGAAATGGGACCTTTTTAAACTTGTTGGCAGCCAAACAGCTTCGGACCCCATTGACTTTCATTGTATGGTCAAAAAATATAATGGAAGTCAATGGGAACCGAAACATTTTGGTTGCCAACATTCTTCAAAATATCTTCATTTTTGTTCCACAGAAGAACGACATGAGGGAGAGTAAATAATGACAATTCTCATTCAAAATGATTGCTGCTCCTAAATCTATAGAATGTAATTGAACATTACACCTATCAACAATATTAATGCTATAAATCAGCGAATCTGCTCAGGAAATACACTTGAAACACTTTCCCTTACAAAACTATGACAAAACAGACTTTCAGCCATAATTACCCACCTATCAAAAACATTTTAGAATGTTTTGCCATGAAGTTATGAAAACATGTTTTTTTTAATGTATTAAGAACGTTTTTCTTGGTTATATGAGCTATAGAGAAACATTATGAAAACTGTATGAAAATGTTAGATTTGAATGTTCTCGCAACCCGTTCTTTTCAAGAATGTTTTTTCTTGGTTATGCAAAGATTAGAGGAACGCTGCATTTGAATCTGTCATGACAACATGATTATTTATGTCTTTTAAACATTTACAACGTCCAGTTTTGTATTCTTGGTTCTGAAACATACACCGAGAACAGTTTCCTTTCAACATTACGAGAACGTTTATCAAATACATTATTTGAAGAGTGTTTTGTTGTAACATTTACATCACCTTTAAAACACGTTCCTGAAATGTCTCTGTTAACTGAGGAGTGCACATTAGATGCATTCAGAAAAACTGGAGCCATGCATCAGAAAGCTTACCAGAGAGTACAAAATAACCCTAACATGATGAAGGGCTCGTAAAGAGCCTGTCTTCATATGCAAGCATGCACAATCCTCTTGAACACTCATGCTTTTTTTTTTTACAAAAGCATACTAAATATAATTGATCAAAGGCAAATAACCGAACGAGTGTAATGAAAGGAGTATAAAATCCCACTGTCTGAAGGCCAGGTCTGTACCGTGGTAATTTACCACCTGATACTGCCACTCAGCTCAGTGTAAAACTGCAGTAACAGAGTAACCTGCCACCATTCCAAGCCTGCAAATGCATTGCACATGATTTATTGATAATGAAACATGACATGCATCCTTCATTTCGAGCGCACTCGCAGCAGGTGAAGGCGCTTTGTGACCTTGCAGATGTGCATTCATTCTTTAAATGTGTTATTCGGGTTTCATTCCTCATACCTGTCCTTAAGATCTCAGAGATGTGCTCAGAAAACGAAGACGCATCTGAGGATGCATGCAATGAGAGCTGCGGAGGAGTCTACCTGTCGAAGATATCCGCTTTGCTTCATCAGGGCAAATGCACGCCGTGTTTCCACCCAAATCACCGCATTTTCAGCAGCTCCTTCCTTCTGGTGACCCAAACAGATCAGTGCACATCAGATCCTCCCGCATCAGGACCTCCGATGCGCTTCCACACGTCCATGACCGCAGCATCCTGATGTTCATTAGATCCGTCTGTTCTGCTGTAATAAAGCTCGCCTCTCCGCATTACGCCTGCATGCGCTCTAGTACGGCGAAGCCTCGGCTCATGAATATTAATTAGGTCATGCAACAGTCGCTCGGTAACCTTCCAATTGCATGGCTCGCTCTGGAATATTAATATTAAACACGCTGACGTTGGTATATCGATTATTGTATTGTATAATATTTTAATAGTCTTTATTTTTAACGCTGATTTGTTTTGGGTGGTTACAAGGGCGTTGTTATGTGTTTTGGGTGGTTGCTAGGGCATTGCTAGGCATTTCTTAATGTATTTTGGGTGGTTACTAGGGCGTTGCTATGTATTTTGGGTGGTTGCTAGGGCGTTGCTATGCATTTCTTGATGTATTTTGGGTAGTTATTAGGGCGTTGCTATGTATTTTGGGTGGTTGCTAGGGCGCTGCTATGTTTTTTATTGTGTTTTAGGTGGTTAAATTGAATTTCCTAGTAATCCATATTGATATATTATCTTTTACTGTGTAGTTAATGCAGTTTGATTCAATCTCAGAACACATTTTCCAGTTTTGTTATTCACAGGTGACTATGTGAGACCAGCTAAATGTTTTGCATGAAATGAGTAGTATCAGTTTGTGTGCTGTTTGCTTTACCTTCATATGCTGGAAGTCATTGATTCCCAGTCGTGGCAGGTTGAAGCAGTTGACATGAATTAGTTTTCTGCCCGTGATATAATTCTGATTGAAACATGACTGAGGGATGAAACATGAGGTCACGGCTGTAATGAGTCTCAGTGCGATGTGGACACACCGCTCAACACGGCTTTGCAAGAGACTCTATGCTATATTTCAGCATTTTAGTTGATGCCAATATGATGATTTTGATGAAATGTAAAGCCGCAGCTGCTGTGAAACAGACTGCATCGCTGTCATTTCACTCAGACGGTCTTATTCTCAGTGCTGGTTGGCATGAAGGCAACAGATATCGCTGATGAAGGAAAGCATTTTCCTTACATGATGCTAACAAAGCACAACAGGAGAATGATGACAAAGCGTTATGTTGAGTAAAAGCTGAACAGCAGAGCTTCTCAACTGATGGGTCACTACCCAAATATCGGTCTCAGCTCTGTTCTGATGGGTCACGTGCAGGACGGAGAGAATGAGCTCAATGTAAATAATCAGAGAACACTGCATGATGGCTAAATAAGCAGATCAACTTCTAACAGGGAGGAGAAACACTTCATTTAGTAGCAGGGGTCAATCAAACTCTACCGTATTTCAGCACTGATTCATCTGTCATTCTGTGAAATCTAATCAAATCAGACAGATGAAGTAGATTGTGTGATGCCCCAAAAACATGAAATAAAGGACACAAGCGTTTGAATGGCAAATTTGTACATGTTTGTTGCTTTTGCATTGAGAATAATTTCTGTATTTAATATAATATCTTGAAATAGAATAATTGTATGCTGGTTTTGTCTTGAAATGACTGTTAATGGTTCACCTTATACTCGATCCAGTGTGCCACATCCTCACAACTCCAGCGCAGGAACTCCATGTTTCCATTCAACAAGCCAACAGACCTCAATGAACAGTTCAATTCACAACATCACAACCACGAAGTGATACAGTTATACAGGTAGACAGACAGACAGTCTAATGCCATTTCATGCATGTTGAGTTGTTTACACTGTTAAAGAGTTGGATTCTCATGCTAAACATGGCCAAAGTTTCAAAAAACAATATGAATGTAGAACGGAGTATTTCTGTGTCAAATATACTCCTCCCGGTTTTGTACAAGTTTTGGAGAGTTTTTTTCGAGCTTGGCTCTTCGTGACGTAATGTAGGGTGGAACTCCTCGGCTGCACTGAACGGGACTCGCTCGAGAAGAATGCCTCTAAAGAGGTGTGTCTTTGGTTGTAAGAATCCAAAGAATCCAGCGTTACGTAAACAGCGGATGCAGTTTGTTTTCCGGAGCAGCAACGGAGTTTCGCAAGTGTGTTTGTTGACGAACGTTTTATAAACAAGGCCCAGTTCGACGCTGGATTTGCACATCGTTTGCTACTGAAAGATGGAGCGGTCCCAGCTATAAAAGATCCCGGTCATGATCCAGAACTGCAGACGCTAAGTGAAGCTGCATCAGATGTCTGTGTTCTGTTGACAATCGGCGCTTAAGTGCTCATCACTCTTTAGCTCCGCCCACGACACGCCTCCAGGAGCTCAGCTGTTTCCGGAGAGAATCGGAAAGCTGTATTTTTATTCTATAAATATGATAAAACTAGAGACTTTTTTTGTGGAGATATGAAGGATGCAGTGCTACTCTATAGGTACTCAAGATTAACATGAGATTGGGTGAAAATGTGTGTGTTATGTCCCCTTTAAAAAAAAACAAAAAAAACAAGCTTCTAAAATGAACACATCGCTAACTAGCTTAGCCACTAGCTGCCGCCACAACACATTAGATTAAACTAGTTGTGCAGAAACTCGATATGTAGAGCTTGAATCCCTTGTTCGGCTTGCGTGTTGAGCAGTGGACCAGCGATACGATGATGCTTACTTTAGACAGATCTCGGAGACATCTAGAAAATACTGACATCTGGCATCAGCGGAAGCTCATCACTACGCTTGTGCACAGAGTCCATTCCTGTTCACTGTATTTCTTTCTTTCTCTGATGTTGAGGTTCGTCTCGTGTTTCTGTGAAGGGACACTCTGGCCCCGCCACACTCTGCCTGCGTCACCATCTGCAGCTGTCAAACAACACCGGCACCGTTTCCAACCAATAGATCATAAATCGACACACACACGGAAAAAACGCTCAGGATTCATAAACTGAACTATATTCAAACCAACTATAGTTAAAGGCACAATATGTAATTTTCGCCGCTAGAGGGCGCGTATTCAAAATAAACAAAGAGACAAAGGCGTAGTTTGTCCACTGACAGATATTTGTTCTTGTTTCAATCATAAACTCACTTCATTTTGTTCAGTTTCTCAGAAAACAAGACTTCACGTGTTGATTGTGCGTCTGCAGTAAATGTGTCTGGATTTATGAATCTTTAGACATTTGCGCTGGAAAACAAGACAGAAATACTGAGGAAGAAGATCAGAAGGTGATCAGAAGGTACAGTAAACGTTATTTCTTTGTGTTTTCCCTTCAATTAATTCCTTATATTTTCTTGATTGGTCTTAAAGTCATAAACTGCAGAACCCCTGTAGCAGAAAAGCATGTTTGTCTGTGACTGAACACTCAATTCAAGCACTAATTGTAGCATGCGCTGCTCTTCCGCTGTGTTTGTGATGAGAATGAATCTCTTGAACGCTGCAGAGGAGGAGCCGTGAAGATCTGAGACTTCAGGAAGAGAGGAAAAAAATAGTTTTTTTCACTCGTCAAAAATCATATTTCTTCTCGTCAAAAATAATTTTTCCTCGCGTTAATTTTTTATTTTCACTTTATTTTTCCTCTTGTCAAAAATCAATTTATTTCACTCGTTAAAAAAAATCATATTTGCAGTCATCAAAAATCATATTTTCAGTCATCAAAAATCTTTTTTCCTCTCGTTAAAAATATTTCTTCTCGTCAAAAATCATTTTTTCACTCGTCAAAAAAAAAAAATCATATTTTCAGTCATCACTCATCAAAAATCATATTTTCACTCGTCAACAATAAATTTTGATCTCCTCAGAAATCATTCGTAATTACAGCAGTGAACCCTGCTGCTCGTGTTTCCAGCTGACCGAGAAGGTGAGGAACGTGGAGACCAGCTGGGCTTTTCAACCACTTCCAGAAGTTCAGGATCCATTAAAGAGCTTCATGGTTTCTTGTTACGTTTCTCCTCAAATCAAAGAAACACTTAACGCTCCTAAAACAGGCTTCAGGGTCTTTCTTCATGTGCAACACGTCTCGGAGATGAACGGCTGTTTGATTCCTCAGGAGCTTCATGTGAGAATGAACAGAAAACAGATCTATAAACAGAGAATATGCTGTTGTTGATTACGTTACTGAGCGAATGTGTTACGGTTTACAACACTCTGTCTGTAATTTTTCTTTGTTCCCCAATTACAATTTTTAATAACATGTACATTTGTCTGTATTGACTGCGGATTTTTTCTGTCATGAATCATATTTAAGCAAAAGCATATTCCAGGCAGAATCCTGAATAACAGCAAATGCATAAAGAAGAAAGCTTTCGACACCACAGAGTAACTCCAGACTAAATACAGAAACGGTGCTGAATGTACATCACACCAGGAAACCAGCTCATCTAAAAACTGATTTTTCCTCTCGTCAAAAATCATATTTTTTCACTCGTCAAAAAAAATATATATTTTCAGTCGTCAAAAATATTTTTTCGAGAATAGCTACATTTTGAAAAAAAAAGTCAAAATAAAATGTTGCGAACAAACATTCTCCGCATTTTATTTTGACTTTCCCCCCGAAATTTAACACGTTTTTTCTCGAAGCAACTTTATTCTCGAAATTTAATGATATAATTCTCAACATTTAATTTCAACATTTGACGAGTTTAAACTCAATGACTATTCTCGAGATGGTTTAACTTTATTTCACTTGTCAAAAATCTTTTTTCAGTCTTCAAATATATATTTTTTCAAATCATACAAAAAAAATTTCCGGTCAAAACAAAAAAACATTTCTCTGGTCAAAAAACTTGATTTCTTGTCAAAAACACCTCATCAAAACCCTTTTCTCCTCATTGTTTCATTTTTGAAGTTTGAAAACACTCATCCTCCTCCAGTCTTCCTTTAGCGGTGCGTTTCAGGGTTTCACATGTGTATACCTGACGTCTCATAAAGGCAGAATCTCATGCTTAGTTTATTGGCATGTCACTTGTGAGGAGGAGTTATTTTGTTGATGTTTATTTTCACATTGCAGTTAATACAAAGAAATGTCTGATTTGAAGGAGTTTGAGATGTTCCCACTCGTTAGTGTTTTTGATGATGAAATGATGAAATGGAGAAGCGTGTTTTTCCTAAAAGAGTTTATTTACAAAAGCAGCTGTTAGAGCAGAGCGACCACGTCATCGCTGTAGCCGTGGCCCGTCGTCATGGTGACCAGGTCATGGGGCGGAGTCAGAACCACGACCGCCGCACCTGAGCACACAGAACACGCGTGATGACGTCACTGCCGTTAGTCATGTGACAGAGCGCAGCATCAGAGAGAGTGTCCGTACCTTGAGTTGGTAAGATGGCGTGATGCAGATTCACGCTGACCATCGAATCACCGCCGGAGTCCGCCTCCAGCAGACTGCTCTGAGTGAGCGCTTCACCTGTCAATCACACACAGACACGCCCACTGAGATCAGTGCCACAAACAGCGTAAAGCATGTTTAAATGGTACACAATAAGACATACCACAATGACGATATATACTAAGCTGTCATTTCTAACATTCTGCATACTTGAACACTACAAACACAATGCAGTGTCCTCTACCATTTGAAGGAGTTTGAGATGTTCCCACTCGTTAGTGTTTTTGATGATGAAATGGAGAAGCGTGTTTTTCCTAAAAGAGTTTATTTACAAAAGCAGCTGTTAGAGCAGAGCGACCACGTCATCGCTGTAGCCGTGGCCCGTCGTCATGGTGACCAGGTCATGGGGCGGAGTCAGAACCACGACCGCCGCACCTGAGCACACAGAACACGCGTGATGACGTCACTGCCGTTAGTCATGTGACAGAGCGCAGCATCAGAGAGAGCGTCCGTACCTTGAGTTGGTAAGATGGCGTGATGCAGATTCACGCTGACCATCGAATCACCGCCGGAGTCCGCCTCCAGCAGACTGCTCTGAGTGAGCGCTTCACCTGTCAATCACACACAGACACGCCCACTGAGATCAGTGCCACAAACAGCGTAAAGCATGTTTAAATGGTACACAATAAGACATACCACAATGACGATATATACTAAGCTGTCATTTCTAACATTCTGCATACTTGAACACTACAAACACAATGCAGTGTCCTCTACTATTTCCAGAGTAATGACCTAAAGCAATTACAGTGACTCGTCTGATAAACATGTCAAACACTGACTGGTTTTTCTTACACAAAATTGAACTGAAAAGCCCAAATCAAGTTAAGTTATTTTGCAAACTAATAAATCAAATCTGGAAATATCAGGGAATTTTAAAGCTGTGTTTTCTGGAAATGCCATATAAACCAACAAGCCTCATCTGATGGTTTATCTGGTCACCAAACGTAAACTGTCCTATAATTAGATGACAAACATTAACCTAAATGAAATACAATCAATTTAAGCTGAAGTATTAAAATGACAAACTACAACTGAAATAAAGCTACATTGAATATTTGTAATAAAACCTAACAGAAATGACAAAAGCACAAAGTTACTAACACTAAAACTTAAAGCTACATACATTTTTAAAAAATAAAAACTAATAAAAAAAGACAAACGCACAAAATAAATAAAAATAGATTAAAGGTAAATATATTTTTTTAAATACACAAAAGCTAATAGAAATGACAAATGCACATAAAATTACTAAAAGGTTAAAAGCTAAACTAAACTACTGAACTGAAATTAAAATAACACCGAAAATGTACAAATGAAAGCTAAATATTCTAAACATGTATAAATACTGTAACAGAATATCAGCATAAGCGTAAACACTGTTCTGTTGGTGTAGTGTGCTGGATGTCATTGATTGTGTCGTGTAGCAGCAGGATCATGTGACGCGTGTATTATTAATGTCTGAAATGCGATCGCGTTACCCGTGTCTCTGCTGTCAGGAGGCAGCGTCTCATCGCTGTGTCTCTTCTTCATGTGGACGTTTCTGCTGCCGCTCTGAGAGAATGTCTTCCCGCAGATGGAGCACACGTGCGGCTTCTCACCTGAGCACCAGCACACGTTAACAGATCACATGATCACCAGCACACGTTAACAGATCACATGATCATGAGCACATGTTTACAAGCACACGGTAACAGATCACACGATCACAAGCACACGTTAATAGATCACACGATCACGAGCACATGTTAACAGATCACATGATCATGAGCACATGTTTACAAGCACACTGATCATGAGCACACGTTAACAGATCACATGATCATGAGCACACGTTAACAGATCACATGATCATGAGCACACGTTAACAGATCACATGATCATGAGCACACGTTAACAGATCACATGATCATGAGCACACATACAAAAAAAATTTCCGGTCAAAACAAAAAAACATTTCTCTGGTCAAAAAACTTGATTTCTTGTCAAAAACACTTCTCATCAAAACCCTTTTCTCCTCATTGTTTCATTTTTGAAGTTTGAAAACACTCATCCTCCTCCAGTCTTCCTTTAGCGGTGCGTTTCAGGGTTTCACATGTGTATACCTGACGTCTCATAAAGGCAGAATCTCATGCTTAGTTTATTGGCATGTCACTTGTGAGGAGGAGTTATTTTGTTGATGTTTATTTTCACATTGCAGTTAATACAAAGAAATGTCTCATTTGAAGGAGTTTGAGATGTTCCCACTCGTTAGTGTTTTTGATGATGAAATGGAGAAGCGTGTTTTTCCTAAAAGAGTTTATTTACAAAAGCAGCTGTTAGAGCAGAGCGACCACGTCATCGCTGTAGCCGTGGCCCGTCGTCATGGTGACCAGGTCATGGGGCGGAGTCAGAACCACGACCGCCGCACCTGAGCACACAGAACACGCGTGATGACGTCACTGCCGTTAGTCATGTGACAGAGCGCAGCATCAGAGAGAGTGTCCGTACCTTGAGTTGGTAAGATGGCGTGATGCAGATTCACGCTGACCATCGAATCACCGCCGGAGTCCGCCTCCAGCAGACTGCTCTGAGTGAGCGCTTCACCTGTCAATCACACACAGACACGCCCACTGAGATCAGTGCCACAAACAGCGTAAAGCATGTTTAAATGGTACACAATAAGACATACCACAATGACGATATATACTAAGCTGTCATTTCTAACATTCTGCATACTTGAACACTACAAACACAATGCAGTGTCCTCTACTATTTCCAGAGTAATGACCTAAAGCAATTACAGTGACTCGTCTGATAAACATGTCAAACACTGACTGGTTTTTCTTACACAAAATTGAACTGAAAAGCCCAAATCAAGTTAAGTTATTTTGCAAACTAATAAATCAAATCTGGAAATATCAGGGAATTTTAAAGCTGTGTTTTCTGGAAATGCCATATAAACCAACAAGCCTCATCTGATGGTTTATCTGGTCACCAAACGTAAACTGTCCTATAATTAGATGACAAACATTAACCTAAATGAAATACAATCAATTTAAGCTGAAGTATTAAAATGACAAACTACAACTGAAATAAAGCTACATTGAATATTTGTAATAAAACCTAACAGAAATGACAAAAGCACAAAGTTACTAACACTAAAACTTAAAGCTACATACATTTTTAAAAAATAAAAACTAATAAAAAAAGACAAACGCACAAAATAAATAAAAATAGATTAAAGGTAAATATATTTTTTTAAATACACAAAAGCTAATAGAAATGACAAATGCACATAAAATTACTAAAAGGTTAAAAGCTAAACTAAACTACTGAACTGAAATTAAAATAACACCGAAAATGTACAAATGAAAGCTAAATATTCTAAACATGTATAAATACTGTAACAGAATATCAGCATAAGCGTAAACACTGTTCTGTTGGTGTAGTGTGCTGGATGTCATTGATTGTGTCGTGTAGCAGCAGGATCATGTGACGCGTGTATTATTAATGTCTGAAATGCGATCGCGTTACCCGTGTCTCTGCTGTCAGGAGGCAGCGTCTCATCGCTGTGTCTCTTCTTCATGTGGACGTTTCTGCTGCCGCTCTGAGAGAATGTCTTCCCGCAGATGGAGCACACGTGCGGCTTCTCACCTGAGCACCAGCACACGTTAACAGATCACATGATCATGAGCACACGTTAACAGATCACATGATCATGAGCACATATTTACAAGCACACGGTAACAGATCACATGATCACGAGCACACGTTAACAGATCACATGATCATGAGCACATATTTACAAGCACACGGTAACAGATCACACGATCACAAGCACACGTTAATAGATCACACGATCACGAGCACATGTTAACAGATCACACGATCACGAGCACATGTTCACAAGCAAACGGTAACAGATCACACGATCACAAGCACACGTTAATAGATCACACGATCACGAGCACATGTTAACAGATCACACGATCATGAGCACATGTTCACAAGCAAATGGTAACAGATCAGACGATCACGAGCACACGTTAACAGATCACACGATCACGAGCACACGTTAACAGATCACACGATCACGAGCACACATTAATAGATCACACGATCACGAGCACACGTTAACAGATCACACGATCACGAGCACACGTTAACAGATCACACGATCACGAGCACACGTTAACAGATCACACGATCACGAGCACACGTTAACAGATCACACGATCACGAGCACACGTTAACAGATCACACGATCACGAGCACACGTTAACAGATCACACGATCACGAGCACACGTTAACAGATCACACGATCACGAGCACACGTTAACAGATCACACGATCACGAGCACACGTTAACAGATCACACGATCACGAGCACACGTTAACAGATCACACGATCACGAGCACACGTTAACAGATCACACGATCACGAGCACACGTTAACAGATCACACGATCACGAGCACACGTTAACAGATCACACGATCACGAGCACACGTTAACAGATCACACGATCACGAGCACACGTTAACAGATCACACGATCACGAGCACACGTTAACAGATCACATGATCATGAGCACATGTTCACAAGCACACGGTAACAGATCACATGATCACGAGCACACGTTAACAGATCACATGATCACGAGCACATGTTCACAAGCACACGGTAACAGATCACACGATCACAAGCACACGGTAACATCACATGATCACGAGCACACGATAACAGATTGCATGATCACGGGCACACGTTAACAGATCTCACAAGCACACGTTAACAGATCACATGATCATGAGCACATGTTTACAAGCACACGGTAACAGATCACACGATTACAAGCACACGTAACAGATCACACACAATAACAGATCACACGATAACAATCCCACGTTAGCAGATCACATGATAACAGATCACACGTTCATGAGAACACGATAACAGATCATGAGCACATGATGCATTATAGGGTTGCGCAGATAGACGGATAGACGATATATCGATGATAGCACATGTCTTTGTCGATAGTCAAGACGATATTAGGCTCATTCTCCTATAAATGTATTAATGTATTAAAAGGCGGCCTATTATAATTCGGCTATTATTATCAAATTGTCCTGCTAATTCACTTCAGCACCGCATTTCACACTCGTGCAAATAAGGATTAGAGCCTGTAGCCGGTGAAGGAGTCTCCAACCACAAACACAGACACACATCGTCTGCTGATATAAGGTATTTCATTGCACTTTAACAAGTCATCTGAACGGCCTATATATGTGCAATATTTTAACCGAGTTCTCATTAACGGAGTTTAATGCCACAGTTATGTTGGAACGCATCTCATTCTTGTTTCTGTGGCGGAGCGTCGGGCTCATCCTGCGGCGGAGTGCTGTATGACTGATGTATCCGTTTAATTTAACTTTACTTCAAATATATCAACTTACCTGTTTTAAGTACGTTTATATTTAGCGTGTTCGTTTATGTCCAATATTTAGTCTTAAACTGTTGGTCTTTAAAATAAGTCTACTTTTGATTTTCACCGTTGACTGCAGACCTCTAAGACTGATAACGTCCGTGCTCTGATGCGATGTATGGCTGTTGTATCCAAATACATATGAACTAGCCGGTTTCAATATTTTTATATTTAACATGTTAGTTTATCAGTATGTTTAAAAGCATATTGTACAGAGAGTCTCTCTCTTGCCTCACCCATGCACGCACGATAATATCGTGTATCGGCGATCTCACGGGCTGGCGATATGACGATTTGAAAAATTACCATATCGCCCAACACTTATGCATTATACAATTAATTAAGATAAGCACGAGTCATGTGACCTTACCAGAGTGTACGAGCATGTGTTTGCGCAGACTGGAATATTCTGCGAAAGATCGGCCACAGCTATCAACATCACACAGGAAGGGCTTTTCTCCTGAAAAACAAAATTTAAATGATATGAGAGCACACGATCACAAGCACACGGTACCAGATCACACGATCACGAGCACACGTTAACAGATCACACGATCACGAGCACACATTAATAGATCACACGATCACGAGCACACGTTAACAGATCACATGATCATGAGCACATGTTCACAAGCACACGGTAACAGATCACATGATCACGAGCACACGATAACAGATTGCATGATCACGGGCACACGTTAACAGATCTCACAAGCACACGTTAACAGATCACATGATCATGAGCACATGTTTACAAGCACACGGTAACAGATCACACGATTACAAGCACACGTAACAGATCACACACAATAACAGATCACACGATAACAATCCCACGTTAGCAGATCACATGATAACAGATCACACGTTCATGAGAACACGATAACAGATCATGAGCACATGATGCATTATAGGGTTGCGCAGATAGACGATAGTCAGAGATATCGATGATAGCACATGTCTTTGTCGATAGTCAAGACGATATTAGGCTCATTCTCCTATAAATGTATTAAAGTATTATTAGGCGGCCTATTATAATTCGGCTATTATTATCAAATTGTCCTGCTAATTCACTTCAGCACCGCATTTCACACTCGTGCAAATAAGGATTAGAGCCTGTAGCCGGTGAAGGAGTCTCCAACCACAAACACAGACACACATCGTCTGCTGATATAAGGTATTTCATTGCACTTTAACAAGTCATCTGAACGGCCTATATATGTGCAATATTTTAACCGAGTTCTCATTAACGGAGTTTAATGCCACAGTTATGTTGGAACGCATCTCATTCTTGTTTCTGTGGCGGAGCGTCGGGCTCATCCTGCGGCGGAGTGCTGTATGACTGATGTATCCGTTTAATTTAACTTTACTTCAAATATATCAACTTACCTGTTTTAAGTACGTTTATATTTAGCGTGTTCGTTTATGTCCAATATTTAGTCTTAAACTGTTGGTCTTTAAAATAAGTCTACTTTTGATTTTCACCGTTGACTGCAGACCTCTAAGACTGATAACGTCCGTGCTCTGATGCGATGTATGGCTGTTGTATCCAAATACATATGAACTAGCCGGTTTCAATATTTTTATATTTAACATGTTAGTTTATCAGTATGTTTAAAAGCATATTGTACAGAGAGTCTCTCTCTTGCCTCACCCATGCACGCACGATAATATCGTGTATCGGCGATCTCACGGGCTGGCGATATGACGATTTGAAAAATTACCATATCGCCCAACACTTATGCATTATACAATTAATTAAGATAAGCACGAGTCATGTGACCTTACCAGAGTGTACGAGCATGTGTTTGCGCAGACTGGAATATTCTGCGAAAGATCGGCCACAGCTATCAACATCACACAGGAAGGGCTTTTCTCCTGAAAAACAAAATTTAAATGATATGATTCAGTATTTAGAATTCATTATTATTAACAAAAATCATTTGAAAAATTCTTACTATTAATATCTACTATCATACATTAATTAATAATTATATAATATCTAAGCTTACTGGAAAAAAATTATAATACCCAACTTATTTTTATTTAATAATATTTGGTTTTTACATAGTTTTATAATAAAGCTATATCGATACTTGGGCTGGGCGATATGGGCAAAAAAATTATTACAATAAGACTTTACATATCAGTCGATATCAATAATTATCACAATAAATTTCAAATCTTAATTTTTGTCAAGTTTAAAGGCAGATTTTTGCTCCTAGACTATTGTTTATTGTGTGTGTGAGTTTGTGTCTGTGTGTGTGTGAGAGTTAGTGTGTGTACCAGTGTATGTGTGTTTGTACCTGTGTGTGTGTCTGAGTGTATGTGTGTGTACCGGTGCGTGTGTGTCTGTGTGTGAGTACCGGTGTGTGTATATGTGTGTCTGAGTGTGTGTAGCTCTTCCCACAACCCTCGGCTCCGCAGCGGAACGTACGGTCGTTCCTGATACACACACGCGCACACACGCTACCAGCTCACACACAACTCTAACGCTGTACATAAATTTACAATAATAATGTGAAATATTATTACAGTGTAAAACAGCTGTTATATATTGTAAACTGTAATTTATTTCTGTGATGCGCAGCTGTATTTTCAGCATCATTCCTCCAGTCTTCAGTGTCACATGATCTTCAGAAATCAGTATAATATGCTGATCACAAACAAGCTCCCATTGAACACAGGCTTTGTTTTGTGTGTTTGGGTGTTGTGTGTGTGACGGCTGTCACCTGTGTGTTTTCAGGTGGTATTTAAGGTGAGCTGGATAGGTGAAGGTCCGGTGGCAGTTCTCATACGAGCATCGGTGGATCTTCTCTGACGCGGCACGACCGACCCGAGGCTCTGATTGACAGCTGTGGATGTGGTCACCTTGGCAACAAGACAGCGAGACATGAGAGAGCGGCAGGCGTGATGCAGAGCAGCGACGGTTTGATGATGAGAGCGTGTCTCACTGTTGCTGCCGGCCCGCGCGTCTCTGGCCAGCTGTGCGCGTGTGGCGGCGATCAGGCTGTCGTGAGCCAGCTCCTGGACCCGCAGGTACCACGGCACGCTGTCATCAGCGCAGTCTCCAGCCGAAACCTCCTCCTGCGCCTCGTCCACATCGTCCTGAACGAACACCAGCGGCTCGGCCGACGCCACCAACCCTACGACACACAATCACTGCGTCAGCACCAGCTACGAAATACACAGATGTGTGGGCTATGTGATGTTACATAAAATCTAAAATGCATTTTCATTATGCATTTGCAAATGATTCAGGGTAAAACGGGTAAATGTATAAAATCAAATAAATAACTGCATTATTACATCCTATGGTTTCATATCACTGTAACAGTTATTTTTGCTGGAAAATCAGACTCAAAATTTGGATTTGAGAAAAAAAAAACTTTGCAAAGGAATTTTTACAAAATGAGCAGTTCTGTTTTAAACAGTGTTCATATTCGAAAAATAAATAAATATATATATTTAAACTAGTCAATCGCATCTAAAATAAACGTTTTTGTTTACATAATATATGCGTGCACTGTGTATAAAATATGTTATGTTTATATATTAAATATATTTTTATAATATAAATTATATGAATATAAACATATGTACATATTTTCAAAATATATACTGTATGAGTGTGTATTTATATATACATAATAAACAGTACACATGTACATATGTAAATAAAAACCTTTATTTTGGATGCGATTAATTGTTTGACAGCACTAGTTTAAACACTTTTTTATGGAAAGGTTATAATATTGTTTTTACACATAAAAAAATAGATTTACACTTACATGTAGTTCATTTAGGCAAATGCACAAAAGGTAAAATATATAAAACAAATAAATAAAATGACAACTTAAAAATGTAACTTCCACACAGATGAGAGCCTCACCTTTGGCTAGGTTGAGCAGAACGTAAGACGAGCTGTCGTGGTTCTGGAGGTCCTGCAGGATGGTGGGCGGGGTTTGTGCTGGAGGGGGAGGAGTCTGCAGCTGAACCACCAATGGGCTTCGCTCAGGGCCGAAGTCTGACAGCGACGGGGAGGCGGCATGACTCAGAGTGCTCTCTGAAAAACACGCAGAAAACACCTCGTCTACACACACAGATCAGATCTACAATCACACACAACCTTCACTGTGAGAGAGACGGATCATTACAAACTGCTTCATTCCGACAGTTCAATGCGATTTACAAGCGGTTACAAAATTCACACAAAACATTTCAAATACACTTCAAAAATGGTTCACTGGAGTCTGCAAAACATCTTCAAAACATTTTGAGACGAACAAAATACCTCTTCTAGGATGATCAAGTTCTCACCGAAAGAATGAACTGAATTAAACTTCAGAAGCAAAAATGTTCAAAATAATTCTCAGCAAAAGACTAAAATTCATAAAAAAAAGTAGTTTTTTTTTTTTTACAAAATCAGCAGTTCTGTCTCTTTTTTATTTTAAAAATTAAAATAAAAAATACATTTTTAATTTGAAATATAAACACATTTATGACATGAAAAGGTTAGTGCAGGCTGTAAAAAAAAAAAAAGTACACCTTAAAAATATATTTGTATTTGTAGATGATTTAAATGTGTGCTCTCATATGTACAAATGGTAAAACATATAAAATAAATGTATACAAATATATTATAACTGACAACACAGTCTTTTTGACTAAGATATAAAAGCTTATGCATGACTCGGATAAAATACATTTTTAATTTGAAATATAAACACATTTATGACATGAAAAGGTTAGTGCAGGCTGTAAAAAAAAAAAAAAAGTACACCTTAAAAATATATTTGTATTTGTAGATGATTTAAATGTGTGCTCTCATATGTACAAATGGTAAAACATATAAAATAAATGTATACAAATATATTATAACTGACAACACAGTCTTTTTGACTAAGATATAAAAGCTTATGCATGACTCGGATAGATGCAAAATAAAATAATAACTGACCACACAGTAATTCATTTAAAACATCTGATGAAAATATAAAGGCTTTTGCATTTGATTCAGATGTTAATGTAAAAGTGTAAATGCATGAAATAAAAAAATAAAAATATAACTTATAACGGACAGCACAGTCATTAAATCCAAAAAAAGTAGTTTTTTTTTTTTTACAAAATCAGCAGTTCTGTCTCTTTTTTATTTTAAAAATTAAAATAAAAAATACATTTTTAATTTGAAATATAAACACATTTATGACATGAAAAGGTTAGTGCAGGCTGTAAAAAAAAAAAAAGTACACCTTAAAAATATATTTGTATTTGTAGATGATTTAAATGTGTGCTCTCATATGTACAAATGGTAAAACATATAAAATAAATGTATACAAATATATTATAACTGACAACACAGTCTTTTTGACTAAGATATAAAAGCTTATGCATGACTCGGAGAGATGCAAAATAAAATAATAACTGACCACACAGTAATTCATTTAAAACATCTGATGAAAATATAAAGGCTTTTGCATTTGATTCAGATGTTAATGTAAAAGTGTAAATGCATGAAATAAAAAAATAAAAATATAACTTATAACGGACAGCACAGTCATTAAATCCAAACTTTTTGTGAAAATATAAAATATGGCAGGGGTATTCGTACGAGGCCTCACCTGGCAGCTCTAGCGGGGCGCAGAGCGG